TGAGCCCGTGAGCCATGGCCGCTGAGCCTGCACGTCCGGAGCCTGTGCTCTGGAACGGGAGAGGCCACAACAGTGAGAGGCCCACATACCGCAAAAAAAAAAAAAAAGAAAATTACAGACCAGTAGCACTGATGAACATAGATGCAAAAATCCTCAACAAAATACTAGCAAACTGAATCCAACAACACCTTAAAAGGATCATACACCATGATCAAGTGGGATTTATCCCAAGAATGCAAGGATTCTTCAATATACACAAATCAATCAATGTGATACACAATAGTAACAAATTGAAGAATAAAAACCATATGATCAACTCAATAGATGCAGAAAAAACCTTTGACAAAATTCAACATCCATTTATGATAAAAACTCTCCAGAAAGTGGGCATAGACGAAACCTACCTCAACATAATAAAGGTCATATATGACAAACCGACAGCAAACATCATTCTCAATGGTGAAAAACTGAAAGAATTTCCTCTAAGATCAGGAAGAAGACAAGGATGTCCACTCTCACCACTATTATTCAACATAGTTTTGGAAGTCCTAGCCGCGGCAATCAGAGAAGAAAAAGAAATAAAAGGAATACAAATTGGAAAAGAAGCAGTAAAACTGTCACTGTTTGCAGATGACATGATACTATACATAGAGAATCCTAAAGATGCCACCAGAAAACTACTAGAGCTAATCAATGAATTTGGTAAAGTTGCAGGATACAAAATTAATGCACAGAAATCTCTTGCATTCCTATACACTAATGATGAAAAATCTGAAAGGGAAATTAAGGAAACACTCCCATTTACCACTGCAACAAAAAGAATAAAATACCTAGGAATAAACCTACCTAGGGAGACAAAAGCCCTGTATGCAGAAAACTATAAGACAATGATGAAAGAAATTAAAGATGATACCAACAGATGGAGAGTTATACCATGTTCTTGGATTGGAAGAATCAATATTGTGAAAATGACTATACTACCCAAAGCAATCTACAGATTCAATGCAATCCCTATCAAATTACCAATGACATTTTTTATGGAACTAGAACAAAAAATCTTAAAATTTGTATGGAGACACAAAAGACCCCAAATAGCCAAAGCAGTCTTGAGGGCTGGAGGAATCAGACTCCCTGACTTCAGACTATACTACAAAGCTACAGTAATCAAGACAATATGGAACTGGCACAAAAACAGAAACATAGATCAATGGAACAAGATAGAAAACCCAGAGATAAACCCACACACCTATGGTCACCTAATCTATGACAAAGGAGACAAGGATATACAATGGAGAAAAGACAGTCTCTTCAATAAGTGGTGCTGGGAAAACTGGAAAAACTACATGTAAAAGAAGGAAATTAGAACACTCCCTAACACCATACACAAAAAGAAACTCAAAATGGATTAGAGACCTAAATGTAAGACCAGACACTATAAAACTCTTAGAGGAAAACATAGGAAAGACACACTTTGACATAAATCACAGCAAGATCTTTTGTGATCCACCTCTTAGAGTAATGGAAATAAAAACAAAAATAAACAAATGGGACCTAATGAAACTTCCAAGCTTTTGCACAGCAAAGGAAACCATAAACAAGACGAAAAGACAACCCTCAGAATGGGAGAAAATATTTGCAAACAAATCAATGGACAAAGGATTAATCTCCAAAACACCTCATGCAGCTCAATATTAAAGAAACAAACAACCCAATCCAAATATGGGCAGAAGACCTAAATAGACATTTCTCCAAAGAAAACATACAGATGGCCAAGAAGCACATGAAAAGCTGCTCAACATCACTAATTATTAGAGAAATGTAAATCAAAACTACAATGTGGTATCACCTCACACCAGTTAGAATGGGCATCATCAGAAAATCTGCAAACAACAAATGCTGGAGAGGGTGTGGAGAAAAGGGAACCCTCTTGCACTGTTGGTGGGAATGTAAATTGATACAGCCACTATGGAGAACAGTATGGAGGTTCCTTAAAAAACTAAAAATAGGACTACCATATGATCCAGCAATCCCACTACTGGGCATATACCCAGAGAAAACCAGAATTCCAAAAGACAAATGCACCCCAATATTCACTGCAGTACTATTTACAATAGCCAGGTCATGGAAGTAACCTAAATGCCCATCGACAGATGAATGGATAAAGAAGATGTGGTACATATATACAATGGAATATTACTCAGCCATAAAAGGAATGAAATTGGGTCATTTGTTAAGATGTGGATGGATCTAGAGACTGTCATACAGAGTGAAGTAAGTCAGAAAGAGAAAAACAAATATCGTATGTTAACGCATGTATGTGGAACCTAAAAAAATGGTACAGATGAACCAGTTTGCAGGGCAGAAATTGAGACACAGATGTAGAGAACAAACGTATGGACACCAAGAGGGGAAAGCGTGGGGGGATGGGGATGGTGGTGTGATGAATTGGGTGATTGGGATTGACATGTATACACTGATGTGTATAAAATTGATGACTGGGGCTTCCCTGATGGCGCAGTGGTTGAGAGTCTGCCTGCCGATGCAGGGGACACGGGTTCGTGTCCTGGTCTGGGAGGATCCCACATGCCGCGGAGTGGCTGGGCCCTTGAGCCATGGCCGCTGGGCCTGCGCCTCCGGAGCCTGTGCTCCGCAACGGGAGGGGCCACAGCAGTGAGAGGCCCACGTACCGCAAAAAAAAAAAAAAAAAAAAAAAAAAAAAAAAAAAAAAAAAAAAAAAAATTGATGACTAATAAGAACCTGCTGTATAAAAAAATAAATAAAATAAAATTTAAAAATTAAAAAAAAAAGAATGTACAGGAGGCAACACAAATAACGGAGAATGGGCAAGCCTCCTGAGAATGACTGACAGGCTCCTGAAGCCTCAAAGATGTAAGAAGATGAAGCCAATCTACAGTGCCTCTGTGTGCCTAGCACAAGTCCTGGGAAATGCAGAATGGGCACCATCTTCAAGAGGTTCCCAGTCTCGTTGGGATGATCAGACAAATCATTATTGCTCACATTTGAAAAGCCAGAACCTTTAGCCTCTTTCCAACCACTGATATCAGCAATAGCTTCAACCAGATCATGAGCCTCAAATATGAAAGGAAACGTACATTTCCTCAAATAAAGTGAGGACTGATTTTCACAGACCCAGATGAACATTAGTCCTGACTTATGACTCAGAATTGCTGACACCTGCATCCTGGGTTGCACTGTGGTTCCAAAGACAGATTTTGGTTCCAAAGACAGGATTTTTGAGACAAACTATTGGAGGACGGACAGAGGGAACGAAAAGTGCCCACCAAACTGAGAAGGCATCTTGAGACTGAAAAATGAGGCAGGCAGCTCTGTATAATCAATGGATCAGTTTATCATAGGTAACTTACTCAGAGGGTGGGATCTGGATTGGGTGGACAACAATCCAGAAGCATTTGCAGCTGCACTTCCCACCACCAAGGGGCCATTGGGACAATTTTATAGTGCTTGGGAGTAGGTGCTTGGAAACAGGGCATACACTCCCAAGCCAAGATTTATGAATGGGTAAGTAGTCTCGTGGGTGCCGGGAATACATCAGGGGAGGGTTTTCATCATTGTCTGGGGACTAACAGAGCATAGAGGCTCCCTGGTCCTAATGATTATTAAACAATGTCTATTAACTACAAAGCCCTTGATGACAGAGAAGTGAGTCACTGCACAGTACAGTCCTGGGTAGGGTCAGTGGAAGGACAGGAGAAACTGTAAGGGTCCATGATGGTGCCAGTTATGCTAACAGCCATACACAAACATTACATTGCAGTTACATGGAAGAATGATTCTTTCTTCATGCCCTCCCTAGCAGATGGAGCTGGATTATATGGCCTTAACTTTGCCCACTAAATGCTCGTGCCAGGGGATATGCCCTCCACCCCTCAGCTTACATGGGTTTCAATCCCCTGCTTAGACTGCAGAACAAATTCAGCTTCCTTTAGCGCTTCCCAACCCGCACTGTAAAATGCTCTGCCTCCTTATTCACTCCTGGTTCCCTCTTTTTTTCATTGTCTCCACCAGGAGTGACTCATGATTCATACAAAGTCAAAATTCTCATAGCTCCCGGGGACAGAGAGGAAATCTGCTGAGTAAGTTCAGTTGCTTCAAAGTGAATTGTGTACATTAGAAAAATCGTTGCTGGAGAATGGACTCTGGATCCCTCACATCTGGCCCTTGCAAGGAAGGGGGACAGGACGGGGGTGGAAGAAATCCTGGTGGAAAGGTCTGTGCTTAGACATGGCAGCTCCCAGGCCTGGTCCCGACCACTGGACCACTGCCTTCTGTGTCTCAGGACAGGACTCCTGCCCACCCGACCTCAAGCAGGTCCATCTTGGGGAAGCAGAGGGCCAACTGGTAAAGAAGCCACAGCTGACAACCCCTTCTCACCCCCAGCTCCAACAGTATAAAAACAAGTTTTCCTTCATGGCCAACCTTAGGAGGTCTGGTTTTAGATAAAAGGAGAAAAACTTGCTCATCCAAACTCTCTTCCAACTTCTCCATCTAAGTATCTTGCAAGAGGCATCTAAGATCACCTTCACCAACTTCCCCTTTTGCTGGGATTGACCTCTTACCTTCACCTGTGTAAGAACAAATATAAGCTGGTACAGAGGTTGAGGAAGCCGACAGAGCAAAGCTTCCTGGGCTTAGATGGGCGTCACCTGGGGTGGCTTTGGTCTTAGGGGTGAGTCTGTTTGGGGCCCTCCAAGCAGTGAAACAATGCCCAATGGAGTCTGAGAGTTTCTGAATCAGAGGAGAATCAAAGAGCCTTCCTGTAACTAGGACTATGGTTTCTGGTCAATGCATTATAGTATATTTTATGATAAAAAAAGAACAGCTATTCCTCGGGGAACCTGAGATTTTTAAGCATGCCACATAGGTTACAGCAGAATATTTTTTTTATTCAGTAAATATTAAACTGTTAACTGATAAATATACAACAATGACAATGAAAACGGAAGACAAATTGGACTCACGTTTCTCCAGGGCTGGATTCCTAGGAGACAATACTCTTCTCTTTCTGCTTCTTTCCTGAATAAAAACACAGCATAAAGTTCTGACTACAAATTTCTTTAAGAGAGATCTTGTGAGTTCTGCAAGAGCAAGAGCCTAGAAAAAAACAGGGTCATGAACATCAAGGTCCAGACACAGGAGAAGAAAGAGGAGACTGTCTAGCTTCACTGTCCCTCCTAGCAGGACCGGTACAAAGGAGGGTCAGCTGCAAAGTTTCCTAAGACTGCTTCCCCTGGGAAACCCTTCACTTCTGTCTCCTGGAAGCACGCAGAGGAGGAAACACTCTTCTGTGGCTTTAATTCTGCAAAAGCTTCGAGTCTGATAGGAAATCACCTACACCTGATTAGCAAGGCTCAAAGGCAAGGGAAGGAGAGA